TCCAGGGACGACTCTACTGTGAAACCAAGGATAGGAAAAAATCACAGGACACTCTACAAAATCGAAACCGCGTTTTCCTACCCTCTCGTTGCTGAGTTATGCTAAACTATTCCAGTTAAAATTCTAAACTATCGTTCGTCTCTGAGAAGATGAAAACAATGTTACTCATTGGTCTGTTACATACATTCGTTGTATTCGTTATCTCAAGTAGAAATTATAACGCAAACTCAATATACATAGATAATATAGGATGTTTTCTTCATTGGAGTAAACGAAACATGATTCTTTCTTTAATATTCGATCGATTTTTGTTAACGTGCGCTATAATCCGCTCCCATTCATCGCGGAATCAATACGTATACGCGAGCGCGACTGAGTTTCCGGTTAAATAGACAGAATGTTCAAACGAATGAATTGAATATTAAAATTAGCGATTAACGAAAACACAATTATTTATCTTTTATTTATTACTGAAAACTCTTATCTACGTTAGAATTTTACCTATTCTTGAAATGGAACATCTTATTATTTTTAATTCCATTAAGAATAATTTATTGCAATATTGTACATTATATTATTAAAAGTAACATTACAAACAATAACGTCTTATGTTGATCACACATTATGCATAAATATAATTACCTCTGCGACATCTTATAAATATTACAAAATTTAGTTCAATGAAATTAAACAATTATCATGGAACGGTTCAAGATCGCGCATTAAATTTTAGATTTGATTCTAGATAAAAATGCATGGATCCGTTGTACGGAAGTGTAACTTACGACGAGTAATGCTTGATTTTCCATAAATGAATTAAGAAATGATATTATGTAAAAGTATAGCAAGCCTTCTTAAGTCGTACAGATTCTTCTTTCAAAGAATCAGAAACTTAGATTCCTGTAGTTTCTCTTTGAATTGCTCCAGTTCTGAACAAGTTGGAGTTCACATTTTGATTTAAGATCTAGTGTATTTGCCCCATATGTGAAGCATGAACACGGATGCGATGAACAGGAGAGACATCACGAGTACAGGCACTGGACCTCTGTAAAGAAATGTACAGTTTAAGTTCCATATGGTACTTGTAAAATTCGAATTCATTGGAAAAAACATAGATGGAAACATTTTATTTGAAACTTATGCTATTAATTGTACCTCTACTCACACTTTAATGCCAGGAGACTCGTCTGTATAGAACCTCCACATACCACCAGAACCAGCTCCTGTATTTCTATTTCTCGACGATGTGGCTGTTGTTGTCTTCCTTTGCCTTACGGTACCACTACCACTTGTTCTAGGTGCTATAGCTTTGCTAGGTGAGCGACCAGCGGCTCCAACCGAAGTGGAACTAGGTGCAGAAGGCTTGGAAAAAGTAAACAAAATACGATTAGAAATGTCTCCGTGTCGCGAAATATTGATCTTCGTAATTCTATACCTTTAAATTACTCACCATTATGTTTATGTGTTTTCTGACGTTAGTCCGTAGACAAGTTCCAGACGATTACGAGAAGTATGTTTAGCGATAAATTTGTAGTCGCTTTTAAGACTACGATTAACGAGGAACCTTAACCTTTAATTTTACGCTTTCTTAACAGAGGTTTTTCTGTATGGTTAGGCACGATATCAACGAAATATTGGAATACAAGCCAAATCACACTGTCACAAATGAACCTTCTTCCTCCAGTGATTACTTTGAACGCTTACTGGCAGTGTGAAGTAGAATAGGAAGCGACGTGTCATATACAATCCATCCACGTGGTGCGCTGTAGACACGTCATCATACGTTGTAAATTCAGTCGTACCGTCAAACTAGTATTATACCGCGTTTTTATGATAAACGCGATATTTGGCGCGACAATATTAAAAAATTCTAAATAACGAATCGTGTTTAATTACTTCACTGATTTAATTTTGTTAAATATTTAACTTAGATTTATTCGAAAAACAGTCTACAACAAAAAAATTATATCTATGCCTCGTCCAACAAGGAAATTCTGTAAACAAAAGCTCATTGGTCCGCTGAAGGGAGAATTATAGATCCGACATAAGGAAAGAAATGAAATGATAAAATCACGAATAAATTAAGAAACGAAATTATAAAGTTAAGGGGAGAAAAAGCTGTTTTTAAAATTCGACTTTCCAGGCTTCAAAAGAAATATGATAGTCTTATTAACATGTTGAGTGGGAAATATGTGGGAAAAATTAGTTGACTACTTTTCATATCTTGATCCTAAAACCCTAATAAGGTCTTATTGTTGCGTATGTTTATGTAAATTATTATTACTATTATTTCGAATAAGGAAAAATATTTATATTACATAATACACAACTGCAATTTTGTTTCATATTTTCCTATATTAATCACGTTTTTGGCAATAAATAACATAATTTTCATATAAATGTAGATCTGTGTATTGATCAAACTAATGCATGTAATTTGTCGTACTGTGGCTCTATACAAAAAAAAATCTTAACATACTATGTAGGTACATGCATACAATAATTTATGTTCTACGATTTTTCTTTCAACTTTCATGTTAGGAGACTAGTTATAAAATTGTGACAACATATTATATTATCTCTTATAAAACAATTTGACGTTTTTATCGTGACTTTAGTAGAAACATCGGGATACAAAAGAAAGTCGTACGTATAACAGGAACTGTTCCTTTTGTTTCACTTATTGTACACTTGGAGCCAAAGTTAAAAAATGCGAAATACAAAGTTGTTTCTCTTAGTTATAAAAAACGCACACGAAAATGCATCGAAACATTCATTATTGGTCAAAGTAATTTACAAAATAGAAAATTTAATATTTCTATTGGTCTCAAAGTTTACAATCTCAATTACTTTCTGTACATTACGATAAATAGCAGAAAATGTTTCGTAAATGCTTATAAATGCAATAGTTGCACTTAACCTCACTTATTCACGTAAATAACGTATGTACTAAGTGTAATACTTATTAATGGTATTAAAACAACGTGTATCGTATGATTGTTTCGGTCGTCGAAGAATGTTTTAAATGCATAAATTCGAAGTATTTTGTTCGAGTCTTACGATAGTATACTGTCATACAGTAGGATAAGAAATTTTGTAAAAAGTATGTTGTGTATCTAAACTAGTGTAACTTCATTATGCTTTGGCATTTTTGTTATATTTTACAATATAGAAATACTTAAAGAATTAAAATATTATGACTCTCATCCATACAACTATTTCTGTCATTTAAATCAATCGAGAAGTTTCTAATTTTTTGTTCGAATAAATTTCATTCTATGAAACTTCTATGAAACTTTTATATATAAGTATATACATGACAGTAAGAAATATTCATATGGATTTCGTGTAGAAGTTACTGTTTGGCACAAGAAATATTGTAAATTTTGATATACAATAAATATTGTATGGTACGATATTAAAGCAGGCACATGTAAATTATGTTTCTCAAGCATAATTATACACATTGATAGCATTATTAACTGTCACATGGAAAGTGACATTACCAGGAAAACGCTTCTATACAATTATCCTTTTTAACAACAATAACGAACTATAACAGGATTTTTATACATATATATCAATCTATTGCTCTAATGCTCTAATTCTACTGCAATGGAAGATGAATATAATGCCTGCAAAGTAAACGTTTCAACGAATATCGAATATGTGCGAATTAACGTTGTATCTCTATTTAATTGGAATTTTAGACACTCTGTGCCAGTAAAGTTTATAAAACAGTTATTAAAACAGCAGATATTGTTTTTTTTTTATGTTTGCATAAACTCAAGATAATCTTACTATTGGTTATAAACTAATCTGATATTTGGCAGACATGTAGCTCGAATAAGTTGACTCTGTTTGTGTATAAAGTGAAATAAATACTTCTCTTATATCGTGTAGACTTTTCATTTGGTATTTAAGTACTGGTCACACCTTTGCGAGCTACTAATAAATTTAATACTGGATGTTTTCTGATGTACGATACTGCTTTTTTATGAGTGACCATCGTGAAATCATACCCGTTGCACTGTAAAATTTTGTCGTGCATTCTGAGGCCACTTTTTGCTGCTGGTGATCCTTCGTGTACTTCGGTAACATATATACCCTACAATAATATATGATTAGGTAATATGTTGCAGTCTCTGTTAACATTCACAAAACCATTTAAGAGATGTTTACAATATGTATGTTACATTAATTATTCTTACATTATCTGTATATCCTTGTGGACTTTTCCTAAAATCTTGATCGATTCCTCCACCTATTTTAAAACCACATTTCATTACTTCCTCTCCATTTTCGTTAACTTCTGTCTCCTTGTGCAATGTAATCGGTATCTAAAAACACAAATATGATAACAAACTGTTTGATCGAAATATCTTCTATTTGATACACGTTAAATGTGATTCGATAATTCGTAATTATTGAAGGAAATTTTGCTTTTCTTCATACTATATATTTAGTTTAAGAAGTGAAAATATTAGGATTTAACGAAATATGAAAGTGAACGCCCAAATAAGACAATTGTTGATTGATCGTTAACCAAGTGTTGGAGAACAACGCTTAAATAATCGAGATACGTACGCTTAAGCATTCCATTGCGGTGCCAGCCTGATGCTGAAAAGCCATTTTCGCGCACATAATGACGAATGTTGTGCGTCCGTTTAATTGAAATCGACAAAGTTAAAATTACTCGAACGATTTGGCTAACGTGATTATACCAGTTGTGCACGCACAATTTACACTGATATAACGATGACAGATTTGACGTGACTCACGAATACAATCGACAACGCGGTACCAAATACTGTAGAAATGATTGCGTTCGCTTTGACTAAACGATTAGCTGATTAAAGTCGAACAAGCTTTGAATGACTTTGAATTGTAAGATCAGTTAAAACAATTTCGCTCTCACATTGACAGCCATGCGTAAGTTGCTACTGGTTCCAAGATCACGTCACTCGCGCATAAACTATTATCTTACATGATACCACTACACCAGCAGTGCATAAACCATTCTCATAGTAACTATTGGCTCCCACTGTTGGCCTGCCTGGGTATCCGTAGGGGTGGTTTTATGAATACGAAGTTGGTAGCACTGTACTTTAAATTTCGAAAGAATAAGCCACAACGCGTGGCGTCTGTAGTGTGTGATACATTGTTCAGGAGAATTTTCTATATATTGTAATTGTTTTTTGCATTATATTTAATGTGTGAGTTATTAGTGAGCAATTTACTTCAGTAAAACATTCGTCTACTCCATTTACTTACGAGGCGACAAACATCTCGAGTTACAGATAAATTTTCAAACATAATCAATTTATTATTCGTTTTAAGTAAATTTAAGCCGTTGTAGTGATTTCATTGTTATTAAGTAATTATTATCGCTTTATGACGACGGGCTATGATATATTATTGTCCAGAATAATTGTACTATCGTTACGCTGTCGTAAATAATGATAAAGTCCTTCCAGTAGTCGTAATTTGGTAGCGTTCATTTTGGAATAGTCCATTTGATATTCTATTGCGCGGGAAACGTGTCACTTACCAGTCGCATAAACATTTACTTACCTTGTTTAGAAAAATGTATGCCACCGTTACTGAAACAGGGAACACGTTTTGTTTATTTGCATTGGGTCGAGGGAAGGGAACAGTACGAGGTTTCGTAATATTAAAATAATTTAACTGTATAATTCGATAGACAGTAACATGGTTGACACGAATGACGTAATGCCACATCGAAGTTGTATTTGTATCGGTTGCCGGTCGACGAAATCTAACAACGATCGAAAACAGCGTCGTTCTGTCGTACTCGAAATAATGTTTGCGGCAACCATCGTTCGGCTACTTTACCGACGATCGATAACGAAAATACGCGGTAAATTGTAGATCGAAGGGAACGATTTATTGGGCTAAACAGTTCGTCTGCAAACACGAATTTCGGCGCACTTTCACACGTTTCAGCGACTTATAAATATTAATACGATCGATAAAACAGGAAACTTTCGCTGGTTCTACATATATAATAGCTTAACCTTCGATATTTCATTGTGCTAATCTACTGTATAAACGTAGAAAAAAAAAAAGAAAAGAAACATACAGAACAAAAGGAACGCAAGTGCCTCCTTTAACTATTGACCAGTAAGTACCACATGCGAAAACATTCTTCTTCGCTCCGAAATAGAATGCAACAAAAATTATTTAACGCAATACAGGACATAGTATAAAGATTTTTCCCCCAGATTGTTCTCGAATATTTGTTCGTTGTTACAAATATGAAAACGAATCGCAGGCTTTCTCGTGGAAAGTAAATTCCTGTTAGAGTTTACCCAGTCTCCTCTGACATTTCTTTCAACGATATCCTGTCCATCTTCCACGGTTCACGGTTTTCACATTGTAACACCGTACGTCTACGTTCTTTATCACTGGCCGTTGGTCGAAATTGTACAGAAATTGTTCATCGTCTATCCAACAATTCTCCATTTGGTCGCGACATTAAAAGGACAAACGAAACGAAAGTAATTACAAACTTGTTACATGGCATTTCGTTTCCGCCATTCAGTGGCCATGTTTTTCAACCCCACGCGAACAGGGCAACACGACGCAAAAACAATTAACGATCTCGCGTTAACTCGTGCGTCGCACAACCGATTCGAAATAGTAAAAGCTGAATCACGTGAAGTAACTAAGCCGTTATTTACACGTTTCGCGTTAGTATTAACCCTTGGACGATCGACGCAAGTTCTGTTATTAACTCTTACAAATCGTTTTACGATGTTTTACCAGATTAACTCCTTGTCACGTTAGATGATTCTTTCTTTTAATCTTAGTTTCATGCTGCGGTTACATTTTTCAAAATCATCTTGCACCGACTGAGTTTGTACTAAAATTATGAATTATAATTTCAACGGGTACATTCAGTAGATATGTTTTCCAAAGTATCGACAAACAATTCTTCAAGATTAAAATCCATAGTTTTAGGGTTTGTTTCTGAACAATTTTTGAGCCTCGATGATAACATAACTTCACCGTACTTCAAACTTTGTCCAATAAATGATGTTGATTAATCGTTCATCTAACACATTGATATTAATATTATCTGATTTCTCAGCTCTGTCAACGATCGAGTAAGTAGAACAAAATCGCCTGATCGTTCAAGGATTAAACGTCTACTGGCTAAAATATACAAATAGAGAGACAGGGAGGGAAAAGAGTAACATTATCGCGGCTGCATCGGTTGCCACGCAGAGTAACGCGCAACGACACGCTTGTCGCTCGAGATTCCAACATGTACGCTTAATCAAGGGTCAATCTTAAACTAGATGGATCTTCCGCTCTTGATCTTCGCCAGGTTACGATTCGCTGTCCTCCAGCGAACAATCGAATGTTCGTTTTCGGCGCTCGTCTGGGTGCATTCCATTACGAATCAGCATCCAAGAGCGTCGTTAGACGTTACAGAAATTGTACAGATTCAAGGTCCACGTGTTTAGGGAAGAATGTAACCGTGGTCACGCGTTTGGAGTATTGGTGGTTTCGTCCTCTTTGCTCAGTTCTATCAGCTTCTCGAGAGAGAACTGGCGCGCCCTGGCCGCCCACACTTCCCCGTTCGCCAGCACCCTGAAAAATAACGATAGAAATAATTAATCTAGCGTTAGTCCCACCTACGGATTTGTTAATACGGTTCAAACTAGTAGTTTGGGTTCATTGCGGTAGTTGACTATTTTTAACGTGTTAAACACAGGTCTCGAAGTAAAAGTAAACCACTTATTTGCTTTGGGATCTGTGTTTGCGTTTATGCACTCAGATCTCTGAGCTATCTGAGTAATTAAGCGATACGTAATCACGATTACAAGGGTTACTTCGGAAAGTATATTCTTCCTTCGAAATTGAAATATATCAGTGAATTCGAGGGAAGTAAATATACCGAGGAAGTTGCTCGGTGAATCTAATTACGTACCGTCTCGTGTTTTCGCTAACCAGCCTGTCTGGCGCTCCATAGATCGGCGGATTAGCATAAGGATCATAGCCGAGCACAGAAAGCATCGGCGCGATGTCAGGCATCTCTCTGACCACGTCGTCTGGAATGTGGCCAACCCACTTGGTCAATGCCTCCAAGTTAACTGGCTTTATGATCTGGTCCGACGACCTTTCGACCCTGCAATTCCAAAAATGCAGAAAGAATTCAGCCTCCGATTACTTCGCCGCAGTCTTTTGTCGTCCGTTCCTTCGCTCGTCATCTTTCTTATCAACTAACGAACGTAGAAAAAACGTATTTAGAGTCTCTGAGAATTTTAGCGTGGATCTAAGAGCGAATAAAAATTTCGACGAAATTTCTCGTTATTCCTAAACGAGTAAACACGTTGCAGGTACTGGTATCGCCAATTGCAGAGGCGCGAGTATACTAGGTCGCGAATTTCTAACGTTTCATCGACGGTTGCTTTCTTACTTGCTAAGTGGAACGCCGCCTGGTTTGTTAATGAATTCTTCGTGATGCATCACAGACTCGTTCCAAGGCACGTCTAGGAAGTTCAAGATCTTCTTCATCCATTGACGCGGGTGAAGCACCAGTTGCTCGTAGGGTACCATCAGACACTTGTCCGATCCTATCTCCTTGCACTGTCCGTACATTATGGATATCGCGTGATTCCATTTGATCAGCGATTGACGATAAGACGACAGGTCGAAACCCGTTATGGTGACCTGAAAGACGCGTCATTATCGAGTGCTCGAAGCCAACAGAGGTGATGCATAATTAATGCCTCGCGATGAACGACTATTTCCCGTTGGGCTCGCATGAAACCGTTAATAGGCAGAGTGCGTATGTTACAATACAGGCTATCTCGAGAGTCGTTATTTATTTATGGCAGTAAACTCAGAAAAATATCTGTTAGACACGAGTATATGTTACTTTATGATGCTTTTTCAAAGGATTATAAATGGTGTGGGACTATTTAAGGACGGTCGAAAGTCTAAGATATACATACAGGGTGTCCCAGCCAAGGAAGGAAAATGAGAAGAATTTTAATATTCTGGGCCTAGAATCCCAAGCGAGATGCAATTTCCATATTTGAAATTTTGCATTCGACTGATAGTTTTGGAGTTAGAGCTCCGTATCACTTAGGCTAGAACACCCTGTATTATAGTCCAGGAAGAGTTTCTAAACAATATACAGAAGAACATTGCATTCTTCTCGCAGAGTTCGCTAAGGAAATTTCTCAAGGCTAGCTCACTTCCTTTCGAGGGCGTCTAATAGCTCTGCACTCGGTTCAAACGTTAATTCATTCACGAACATACAGTTGGGCCAGGTATAATTTCCGTACCGAATAAAAATAAATAAGTAAATAGAATTGAAAAGGGAAAAAGTCCAACTATTACCCGCGAAACCGAGAGCTCTGGATAATGCTACTTACAACACAGGATCAGGAGGGGCTGGAAGAGTGATCGACGAAGGGGTTCGATTTACATAAATTTCCATCTCACGGTTTCATTTTTATCGTTCCGTTTGCGCTAGGAAAATACCGTAAATTTTCACGGTTTTCGTCGCGCTTCCCATTTTTCGTTTCGACGCGTACACGTCGTTTTAATATTCGCGAATGAGCCGGGATAAATTTGCATGCATCAACCCCGGGCACAGTGGCGGCGGTTCGAGAAGCATTCGATCGTAGCCCGTACCTTTCTCGAGATAATGGAATGCACGGTGGCACGGCCGTCGCGGATCATGAAGATAAACTTGGCATTTGGAAAGAGATCGAGAATGTAGGAGCCCATCTTGAGAGTGAGGGGATCCTTGTTGCACAACCTAGGCGCAGGTTCCGCGTGTCGCGCGATGATCTCCAGGCAGAACGCCGCTATCGCGCTGTCCATCACCTGGGTAAAGCGTTTATTTCGCAATTAGTATCGTCGATTGTCTGTACAGGACCGTCGCCTATCGAAATCGGTCCTGTAAACGATCGTATGGTAATGGTCGATAGATACACTACGCGACAACTGTTAGATCTCATAGAAATATCATTAAAACTAAACGGATGCGTGAAAGCTGCGGTATATGCACAGCTAGAAATTCTTTCTACCTTTTTCTTAAAACGTTTCTCTGTTAATCTTGATCAGTTGATCTTGAGAAAAGATCTCTGCTCATTCGTAACATTTTCAAAATAAAATGAAAACGTTTAATTAATGAAACAGTTGTCGAGTAGCGTACCTGCGCCATCGACTCCCTGAAATGACAAAGTTTCCCAACAGGTTCTTTACCGAAACTTGATGGCAGCGACATAGGAATTCACATTTCAAAATTAGATAAAGGAAGCGTTGAAATTTTAATAATTCACCATTAATTATGTAAATGTCGCTTGGGACGTTACTCACTTCCTTCGAGATCCCCGCTTCGGAAAGTCGCAGGTTCTCCCTTTCAGACTTGAGCCAGTGCATCCTCATCTGCAGGATCCTCGGTATCACCCTGGTCTCTTGGCCGCACCTGCCGCGAAAAACGATTGGCGAATGAGCTTCCGGGTATTCGACGGCTGGCCTTTGACGGGGGATTGATCAATGACACTCGAGGCGAATCGTATCGGGCGATAATTGGCAATTTGTCCCCGTGAATGGAACTCACCTGACATCGGGATGTGCATCGAGCATGGCGCGCACCAGAGTGGTGCCCGATCGTGGCACCCCACCGATGAATATTAGAGGCATATACCGATCGTACGTGTACCTCTTGTGATCGAACGGGCCCACCACGTATTTCTGAAAAATATCAACGATATTCGATCGGTATTCAATTTTCTGGGTAACAGAATTAATAGAAATTTGTCTCATTAAAAATAATATTAATATTGCTTGAAACGCCATAATAATCAGGTGTTGAAAGTTCGAGGAGACTAGATAAAAGATGTCTCCTACGACACTTTGATTGGTCATTAATGACGATCGTCATTAGGAACGAAAGTTCCTAGCGGAAGGGTGGATGAGGAGTATTTTGTCGAACGATTCTTACAAAATTATAGTTTGCGTTAGGGCAAGTTTTTCCGTGGCGGGGATCTGGCTTGATTAAACTTCAATTACGAAGAAGTTTCTGTCCGCTCTATAATACCTCCTAACGAACGAACTCGACGAAAATGCTTCGCTAAGTCGAAGGGTGGCTGGATCGATGCGTTTCGGACTTTACAGCGGGATCGAGGCGCGCCATTCGATGATTCGATCGAAGAAAAGTTCAAACAACTTCGGAGCAATTACGAAGTTCTGGCTCCGATGCTCGCGGGGTTTCTTAGACTCGACTTTCTTTCCTCGTCTAGCTCCCCCTTTTAATGTTTTTCGTATATCGATTTACTTAACGCTGGAGCGACGTATCCGTCGCTTCGAGTTCGAAAATACTCGAAGGAGGAGCTCCTATATTTCCTAAGATCGAGGAACTCGTTTTCCCGTTATCGAAGATGAAGAAGCATCGAAGCAACTTCACTTTTCGTTCTACTTTTAAAAAGAAAACTTCTTTGAATGTTTCAAAAATTCGCCTTAGAAGTCACGGTCAACATACCCAGTCAGGTTTGTTTTTAAAACATGGCCCACAATGGATGATCCCGCGATTTTCCGCGCCAAAATTAATTATCGCCCCGAATGGTTTAATTAACCGCAAATCATTATAAGGTATAGTAGGATATCATTCGCTCCGACGCGTAGTGTCGATTAAGCAAATAGTACATATATCAAGAACTTTATCGTTCGATCGAGCAGCGGTTGCGTTTTACATGATTATTAATAAACGTGGTCCGTTTCGTGCATACGGACGGGATAAATTTAAATTGAATTACTAGCCATAATTTTCGCGATGCGTTCGCCTGTTTGTAGATCCTCGTTTCTCCCTGCCTCCCCCCCCCCCCCGCCCCCCCTCAAGTTAATTAAACTCCATTTTATAGAAGTTCTTCGATGGATGCGCTTTGTTTCGAAGGTACATGACCAAGTAAAGAAATTAAAGAGAGTAAATTGGATAAATCAATGGTCCATTGCGCTTTCGAGTCTAGAAACAATTGTGTAAATTGTTTAACTGTGTTACGATATGTTTTACATCGCTCGAGAAGGCAAAGAATTTATACTCTTTTTTGTTCAAACTTCAGGAGGAGAATATTTGCCATGAAAAGGCATGTACTAAACGCGCGTGCGACGCTTGGAGCAGCCGCTGCAAAAAAAAAAATACGTCTCGCAATTAGCATTTTTTTACGCGCAAAATAATGTACACCTCCCCGGTGTCTACCGCTTTTCATTCTTTTGTGCTCTTGTACGGGGAAGCGAATAAACCCAGCGCCAGAAATTCTGCGTTCACAATTTACGTTCTGAGCGAGCACGTCACGGGGGGGGGGGGGGGGGGATTCTAATAAAAACCGGTAATTAACGTTCTAATTAGTTGGTCGCATTGGGTTATTTAATGTACCGATCGAGGTTTCGTGTCGTGCAACATTGTTTCGCAGTGATACCTCCGGCACCACCTACGCGTTTAATTTTTAATAATCTACTACATCCGAGCAACAAATACGGAGAAGAGAAGCGGAGTTGGTTTAAAGGTAGTGTAGTTAAGGATGAATAGGTTGAGGTAAGGGCTTTTTTGTATAACGGGGAATGTAGAAATGGAGGCGGAAGTACATGTAACCCTCAGGGGTATCATTAATGAACATATATACAGGTGTACAGCTCAGGTGTACATCGTAATAATGAATAAAGTACTATAACGTTCGAATATCGATACGAGTCACTGTGCACATTTAAATAACAAATAACAAAGATCTCCACGTTGAAGAGAACCCAATGAAAAGCTGAAAGAGATATGTTCAAACTCGAAGTTCATCATTCTGAAGAAAAAAGAATGAAATCTAACGCGACGATACTGAGATACGTATGCAGAACGTGAAGTTCAGTCTGGATATCTCTCAATAAGGATTTCCACACGCAAAATAACCGTACCCATTTCAAGAGCCAAACCGATGGGCATCGTTGCCTTCCAGCGTTTTACGATTTTTCGTCGCTGGTAGCAAAGAAGAAAGGCATGAAAAAGAAAGAATACCTACATTTCGCAATTAGCATTCCAACGTGGAGCGGAGGTGGCTTCACTGCTCCGGGGGCTGAGCCATCCCATCGTTCTCTTTTGGCCCGAAGCACACGGAGAAAAGTGCGCGTGAAACTCAACCGACGCGATTTATGTTGCACGGAGGGCGAGCCTGACAGAACCTCGTTTCTCTTCCGTTCGCACGTTGTCGACAGGAACCAGGCGAATACAGACACTCCCCGTGCACGTATTCACGCATGTTGCTCCTTCCTGTATCCTCATTTGTTTCCCCATCTCGTCGCGTGGTCGCGAAAAGGGAGAGAAGTTCAGGGAAGTCGAAGATTTCCAGGTCGCGATTCTATCTGTACCCTTTCAACCCTTTACCGCTGGCACGATCTTGGCTCAACGTCCGAACGGAAACGTGAGCTTTTGTGCGGGGCGTTTGTTACCGTAAAGCGACTTTTTAGCATACGTGGTACACAAACTGATATTATTCCATAATAATATCAATATCTGTGTCTTTCGCAACTATTATACATTTACTTTTGCTAAAGGGACAACAAATATTCCAACAAAAATGATTGCGTAACTAATGACCACGAAACATTTCTGTTTCAGTTTACAAACGTCCCACCCAATATGTCTTCGACTCCAGAGTATGAACGATGTTATTCGAGACACCAGGCACATAACATTCCTTAAATAATAAATACTGGCAAACATTATTGTGGAGCTAATGGCCTTGGTACGTTTCTGTTTCAGTTTACAAAGAGACAAAAGCCTCGACAACGATGTAAACAAAGTTCGAGTCGCGAGGCCAACGACTTTCGACTTGTTTCTCGGAGATACAAATTTCACTGGAAAATTGGGCCACATCCACTGCCTAATCCGGCAGTTGAGTCCCGCGAGCATCGAGGTTCGCACGCTTGATCTTCCTCCATCTATTAACGCCGGTTCGCGTGTAATCATCGCTCCTGTTTACTTCTATCGGTGCTTACTCTAATATCATTTCCTTCGTTATAAATTCACTCGAACAAAATTCTATCGCTTCTCTATACTTTTCCGTTTCTATTTTTTATCCAACGTTGAATCAATTCTTATATTTAGATCGAATGACAACTTTTTAATTCATTTAGTACTTAAATTTGTATAACTCGACTCGTGTTCGTTTTGATATACTTTACGAAAAGCAGCGTTTCCTCTATAAGCAGCCGATGAGTAAACAGAAGCACTTTCAACAGAAGCACTTTCCGCGATTCGAACAACTCTCGTCGAGTTCAATTTCGCGACGCGAGTTCAGTTGGAGTCTTTTTATTAAAGTGCAATGAAAGAACAAGTGATCGAATAAGACAAGTCCCTCCGCCGAAAAGAAACGAATTAACGAGGGATTTCCCGTTGGTTGCACGTTTTCAGAAGGCTTTTTCATCTCTCCTAATCGTCCATTAAACGGAGCCGACACGTCCTTGCGCACGTTCCATCGATCACTCCGCAGGCGTAAAAGTCACGTCGGGGAGAAGTTTCGCACCGATAACCAGGGTCGATTAATCGGTTACGGAGGCGAGCACAAGGTCATCCGAAAGGTAAGATCTCGCAATTATGACGAAGCAATTGGCTGGATAAATCCGTGCCGAGATCGGATCTCGACTTGCCGACCGACCCGGCAATTTTCTTTCTCGTTCGTTCCTATTAAGGCTCGCTTCCAAGACGCGTGACTGACTTTGCGCCACGCTCGACGGGAAAAATGCCATTTTTAACCTCGGCACTGGCGAATTTTCCAGCCGCGGAGATACCTTTGCGAGGAATGAATCGCGCGATTCATTCTTTGAAAGAGCATCGCGCGGTAGCCTTTAAAAGCGGTTGATAAATTGGAGGGAGATTAGTCGCAACAGAAATCGAATAAAACACTCTAGGTTTACGAGGGTACTGGGCTTCCTTTGGGTGGAATGAAGAAGCTCGAAGGACTAAGCCTTCGAAGCTTCGGATAACACGTTCGCGACCGACGGATATTTTACCGACGAAAATAATCAAATTCTAATGTTGCAAATATGTGGCGTATAAAATAAAGAGATTTCGAAAGTAAGTCTTTCTTCGCGGCTAATCTCGGCGAACCGAAATTCGATTGGCAAGTTTCGCCGCATAAACGGAGAAGTTCCGAAGAAATTCCTGGCCTCTCGCGCACCTCGATATAAGTTCGCAGCGCGGAGTCGCGACTGTCCTCATAAGCTATGCATAGGGACGCATGGGCGCCTGTCGAAGCGGACAGGTTGGATACGCGCGTTCGTAATGGGAAAATTAAAATTCAGATCGAAAGTTCCCTGTTTTCGTCGCATCTTGCCACGGTCCCGTTCTCGACCTCTCGATCGATTTTCTCGTCCCGTGGCAATTAATCGTTCTCGCGACGGGGCTGTTAGGAGATCGAACCTTTGGACCACGTTCGAGTACTAGTTACAAGTTATAGTAAATATTCGGTTAATTGGTAAATAACTTTCGCTTGATAACTTACAATTTATTTCCGGATATATTGTTGTATTATTCTAATCAAAGAATAACACGTTGGCTGTCAGACTAAATCTCGTTAAAATGTTGTCTCGAGGCAATTGAAAATTAGACGATCTAATATTTCCTGTAGTATTTAATTTTGTAGCCTTGCCAAGTTCACGTATCACATTCAGATTTGTTTTCATTAGTGTCTCGCCTTCAGAGTTAATTGATTCAAATCCTTGATGAAAATTCTTGTCACGGTGGATTCAAATCTCCGCGTCTTGCTTTTCGTACGAACTCCTACATTATTACACGTTAAATTTAAGATCTGCTTATCGTGTCGCTCCCTTAATAATAATTGCAATCACGATATCGTCAATTTTGAACAGCCCCGAACGCGATAGAAACGTCGAGCGTTGACGCGCAGATTACGAAGTCCTCCCCGTTTCGCTTCCTCTGAAAAAGATGGAAAGACACGCGGGGAGATCCCGGAAGGGAAAAGTTTCCGAACGATAAAGAACTTTATACGAGCTTCGTCGTACGTCACCGAATCATAATGGAATTTTCCAACAAATAAAGCAAGCGGATAAAAAGTTCGCGAAACTTAATTGTCGCCGTCGACGCACGTTGAGGATGGTCAGACAAGGGCGGGGTGGGAAGGGGGCAAACTGGAAGCAGTTAGTTCGCGCGATAAAGCCCGCTGTTCGGGCGTTGCTTTAATTGCGTCTCGCCTAATTCCTCCCAGGATCTCCCATTGAAATTTTCCAAGGAAACTCGCGGAAACGGCCGCGAGACAACGCAGGGCGCGCTTACTCCTTGGACGGTCGGTCTACTAGCTCGTTCCTCTGGGCTATTCTCCCTCGTCCAAGGGCTCTAGTATTGGGCTATCCGGGCGAGAACAAATTCTGGTTTTGCCGTCTTGCTGTCAGAAACAGCCCTTTGCTCGCAATTTCCTTCGTTTCGCGGAGCAAGCTTGTTTGAATCTTGTTTGAACCGCCACCCAAATTGAACTCCCTTGGCAAGTAGTCGATCTTTGTGCGATAACCTCGATACGTTTACACGTTCAAATTAGCAAACTGATTTTATAAACCTTAAATGATTATTTAGGTGAATTTCAGCCAGTCGTTAAATTACTTGATAAAGCGGGTCCAATTTGCATATGTAACTTTACCTCGTCCACGCTTGGGTAGGCCCTCGTGATTTAATAGCGCGAAAATGGCACGTGACCAGAGTCACTTTAACAATTTCAAGCCAATTTTCTGCGTTAAAAACAACGCTGATCTCCATTTTTAATTTGCCAAGCGCGATTTTGCGCGGGGGATCGTTGTATAAAATTTACAGCCTTCATTGTTCCACGGGACTTGTAATTAACCGCTTCGATAAAACGCTCGCGACCGGGCCGAGTAAATCGTCGCGTCGCCCGTCGAGATTTTTAATCACACCCTTAAATTAGGAAACTATTTTCATCTCACGACCGGGCCGCGCATTAATAACTTATTCCTATGGAGTTGCCCTCGCACCCTCCGTCGAAGCTGGGGAACTGACGAGTAAAACTAGTTACAGTTTCCATCCAGAGGGGGTGGCGAGTCACGAGTATCCATTTTCTGACCATTCGGAAGTTTTTGCACACGCGAAAGTAAAATAATCGCACGAAACGATCCCGTGTATGTGTTTTCGATGAAACTTTAGATTCGAGTGAACTTAAAAGGAAGTCCAGAGGACAGGTTTTTGATTGGAAACCGTAGATATCGTAGACAAATTTTACTATTAGGTCGGTCAACAATTTTTAACGCATAAATAAAGCGATTTTTTTGGGGGGAAGGCAAAGGGTTAATTTAAATTCCGATCAAAATTGTCGAACACTCACCTCCTTGGCGACCATCATCCCTGTGGGTACGTATTTCATGGATCCACAGATGATGCCCAGCTCGTAGAGGGCAAAGATCAGTAGAAGCCCAACGAAGCAGATGATAGGACCCTTTCGGCCACCTCGGCTCAAAAGGAACGACATTTCGTCGACGACGACGACGTCACTCGCGTGCTTGGACGTGTTCCGGGACCGCGAACTCGAGGCCAAGGTTTCAGGGCCTCGTGCTTCCGGTTACGCCATTAGCTCATTGCACCTGTGAAACACGGGGGGGAGAATCTAATTAGATGATGGTATCAATCACGGTGTGTAGATGGTTACATCGGAGGCTAAATTATTTAAACCAGACCAACACTCGAGCCTTCCAAGTAGTTTACTTTGAAGGAGAGTGAAAGGATTCATGAATAGGTTATAAAACAGAAATTTTAGTTTAGGTTCTAATTATAGATATATGCTTTGAAAATAGGATTTTAGAATAGGGGTTAGATGATTCTGTTGATTATTCTTCACGTATATCGTGTGTTACATTCACAAGCTCTGAAAAGATCGATCGACGAGTCGTAAACAGAAATTTCGCTAAGCAAATGTTTCCATCATAGATACATCTTTTGAAAATAATCCCTTGGATAATACTATTCGTTATATTTCATCTGTACTACACATTTCACCCAGCAGCTACGTTCAGCGATCGAACATCGCTGCTCGTCGATGTCTGAAATTTTCGTCGCAGATATATTTGCCACGGGTTTCCTTTCTCAATATTTATCTTCGAGCAGCTCCTCGCGATCGTAATTTTCATTTCGATGGCACCGTGCCACGAACCGTTGAGTTCCTTAAGCGGGTTTTGATTTAGTTGCTCCTCTTCCGTTTCGCGGCTTTGTTTGATGTAATTTATGGATCGACGCCGGGGTACCGGTGTGTGCACTTTACACACGCAAGAATCACCGATGCATTAGCGCGATAAATCTCCTCGCTGGATTACCGTACGTCGAACGATGTTAACCGATACCGAAAAGATGAGGGTAAACATATTCCAATATTTGATCGTGCATCGCAACGATCCCGGGGCATCGATAAACCGGCACGAAACGGGGCCAAATCGTTGCGAAAATTTCGAAATGGGACGCTCGTAGGAGTCGGTGCCACGGGAACCTCGGAACAACGTCTTATCGAGCGGTTAAAAGATTTCCAATAATCGGAGAAAATACGGCGGATTTTCATGGGAAATCGGTAGCAGCTTCCCTGAGTTCTTAGAATGTTTCCAAAATGAACTGCGCATTTTTAGCTCCTTCGTGATTCGTGAAACGTAACAGTCGGTCAGAGGGAGGCAAAAGACGAAGATTAAAAAGAAGGAAGTCTTTGTAGGTCTGCGCGGTGTTTAGTCGACCCGTATCTATTTTCCGGCGACAGCTTTCAACGCAAGCTTCCTATTTTCCGCCTTCTCTTGGCCTCTCTCCTCGAAGTTGAGCGTTTCGCGACGAAAGATGAGAACAATCGCCGCACATATTGCTGGCGTCTCGAGACACGGTACGATTCAACCGTTCCTTTCCGTTTACCTTAAATTTCCTGGCTATCAGGACCTTTTCCTAAACAAAGAGTCGCTTCGTTTCCTTGTATCGACACGGTGCTTCCTGGACCCAAGTGTGTCTTTCTTCTTAACGCGATTGTTCCGAGGCTCGCGTTCGATCGGATGAAATCGAAACGGATAACGGCCTCTCGGGAGACAGGATTATTCGTTCATGGCGACGGTGATTACTAGACCGCGGATTTGTATGCGGATATTATTTTTATAGGAAATTTGAATGTGCAAGAAACTACAAAACGCGAGCAATATGCAAGACTATAAAAAAGATTGAAAGTAAAGTTCATGTTATAATATTTGCAGAATAAAATAAATTCCTATTTAGGTTTAATTTTTGTAGGCACGTTCCCGAAGATTCTATTTTGCATAAAGATCCGCAGTCCAGTGATTACACTTCTTAGTTAAAGGATTAGATGAAACGAAATCATAAAGTAGGGAGTCAGGAGCAAGGTACCGCAAATTATTCGGCGTAGAAATTAATTCAGTGCCTTTCACTTTTACACTTTTATATTTTCAAATTTTTCCTCGATTTCATTTGCGCACCAGGAATAAGCTAGACGAAAGTGTCGAATTTTTCCGCGTATTGGGAATTGCGCTTCACTGGTTTACGGTGACCATTGATGCACATTTTTAAGCAATTCGAGAATCAAAATCCCCTCGACTAGATTTTCACGCGGAAAGTCAGTGAATCGAACATAAATAACGCGACGGGATATTCTGTTTCGCGATGAAGAGAAATATCACTGTATCGTTTACAATTACGTGCGATAAATGCGTAAAATGAATGAAATGTCGTTCAACTCGACTATTAATCTCTCGCGGGGCTGTATTTCGAATGGATTCTTTTTTTCTTTAATAGAATGTGACGGCGTCGCATTTTAATATTGTATTCCGCTTCTCACTGCAGCATACCGTTCAATTTTTATATAAAAGCAAACGTATAATATCCCTCAAGAGGTTAATTAATTTCTGAACACATAGATAACCAAGAATTAGTTTCTTTTTTAAAAGAAAATGAACTCCACGCAATGGAGGGTCGACTTAAACCAAGGTTCGCTTCCCGATCGAGACGATCGCGTTTCTTTAATGGGTCGTCGCGAAAATTGTCAGTTCTTCCCGAAGTAGTTTCAACTTAAACGTTTCCGTGTTCACGATTCCAGTCCGGTAGAGACCGTTCAATTAGCAGAAACACGTTCAAGCGTTGCCCGAGGGCTAGTTTCATTGAATTGTTACATTCCTTCTCGAATTCGCCCCAAGAACGCCGTCCCTGGTTTCTTACTTTGATATTTCCGCCACTTTTGATAACCGTAGTCCGCGACGGTTTATTCCAACGAGTGTAGCGATACCACGGAATAAATTTGGACCGATTGGCGAAATTTAGGCCAACCGCGCTCGCACCGGTACGCGTCGTTTCGTCTTTCGTTTCGACCCATGTTTGTTAGCCGAAATAGCTTCGTAACAAATATACTGTTTCTATTTTATAGACCGAGGGGGCGAAAGGTCGCGAAAAGAACAATTTCATTTCCATTTCCCCGATATCCGTGCCTCTGGATGTCGAGCTTTGTTCAAATATCGCGAGCCACGCGATTGTACCGATGATTGGACGCTCTGTTTGTTTATTAATTAAAAGGCAAGCACTTAGCTCGATCGAATAAATGTCGCCAAGCCTTAATCATTAGGGGACTGTGGATGTGATATTTTCACAGATCAAGAAAGGGAGTTTCTTGGATCAATAATGGAAAAATCCCGAGGATTGCTCGGCTACCTATTCTGCCTCCAATAAAAATTCGTCGAAAGAAATCGAGTCAAACCGTCCCAGCGACTGTTTGAACAGCTCGCTTGTTAGGGCATCGATACCAGCGAATTCTCAGCGCTCGCAGCCAGAGCCTTTCCACCCACACACCTTCCCACCCCTCGTCCTTTCGCAGGTCTAGCAATTCTCAGTGCAGGCAGACTGTGTTTGATCAGACCCTTTCCATTCGAACTCTCTCCTCCCAGCCTCATCCTTTCGACGAAAGGTCTTTTCGCTCGCAGCAACTTCCCCGTCGGTATATGGGACGTATTCCCGTTCGAAACGTTATCGATATCGGCGCTCGTTCTCTCGTGCCTTTCTTAAATTCGACATTTGTCTACGACAGCGAGTTGTCGGTGTAAAATTGATATCGGGGATTTCGCTATCTGCTCGAAACACCCCCTCGCGCACAGGAGGCTGGCAGATCGATGTTTACGATAGCGCTTGGCTGTTGGCACCCCAGACATATTGTTGCTTTTCGCCCAGGCACCGAACGACAACTACATCCCTCTCTTTACACGCCCCTATCCGACGCCCGTTGCCTTTATGATATCGCGGACTTTCGCAGACCTGCCAGGGTCAACGATCGTTCGTATCGCAAAGGGTGAATTTTAACGCCGCGTAGTTGCAATAATAACCCGAACTTCGGATTTTCCCTACCAGCGATTTCGTCCTCTCTACCTAGAAAATAATCACGCGAAACGCTTAGAAAGCGCAAAATCAGTTTCACGAAGCCTTCGCGCGTACGTTTGGGAACAAGGGATGATCGGTGAAACTTCGCGTGACATAGACAAGGGCATGTGGCAGGGCAATAAGCATGCGAACGTTCGGCGTTACATGCGATTCCGTGAGAAATCGAGGCCTGACACGGTGGTCGGAGATTGTACGCGCCACGAAACGGTCTTTGTTTCGACATCCACGAATTTTATCGATCCTCGCGCCGATGTTGGACGCTTCGCTGTTCCTGAGGAATTCACCGAGACACGGATTCTCCAGGTTTAATGAAAGAACTTCGATACCGTCGCCCCGCCGATTCGATATTCGAATGGAGTGACGCCAAGAACGACCCAGAAAATAAATATTTAGGTCGAACCCACCGACTCTGCGTTGTGTTCTCGTTTCGAGTCGCGTTGTTTGACGCGGCATAATTGCCGAACGTTTAGGCGAGGAAATCTGCATGGACGTTTTCTTCCTGGAGCATAATTGGATTCCAGTACGAAAGATACTGTAATAATTATAAAGTCACGAAAGATATTGTTACGACCACACTGCGGATTTTACGCTTTTATCTATAACGAAAAAAACGATATTATTATATTAATCGTGGTATACATTCGACGTACATTATGTGCATTTTTTGTACGTTTGTCCGTAATATCGTACGTAATAAGATGCATAAGATCCACAATCTAGTTACGGCACTACGTGCTAAAGAAAATTTCTGAATCAACAGTGAAATTGAGGATACCTCTCGAAGGAAACATAACCGCGTTTCATCGAATTTCCGCTTTCTCATTTGCTCGAATGCGGCTTTAGTTCTTCGTCCACCGAGTTATGTAAATGAAGTATGTCAATGGGAATCTTTTCATTCGGATAATACTTCTCTCATCGAATAAGCAAAAGAATGTAAATTTGCTGATTCCAGTTTTCCTTGTTTCGTTCCTGTTCTGGCAGAACAGACGACGGGGAGTGCGATTAATTCAATCCGATATTTAAATTTCTCTCGGCGCAGTAAATTTTCGAAGCTTTCTGTCGCTTTGTATCGTCGCGGGGTTCGCTTTTCGAGGGTTACGCGACGACAAGGGTCTTCGTATTTACGTAAGTTTAATGAAAGAAGTTTGGCACGGTGAACTTTAAGCCGATATTCCAATCGACGGTCGTT